CCCCAAAACCCCAAAACCCCAAAACCCCTAAGTTTTATACTAGAATTGAGAAGTGAAATGAGATTATTTTATTTAAATAATTGGCATTTAACAATCCATTCTTAAACAAGTCTTGCATTACACTTTTAGACCTGAAATACAAACGAATTGAAATGCAACAAATAAGCTTGAACGAATACTGCCTGCTATTCTTGATCAGCAAATGAGATCGTTGTAGTTGTCCAAATCGAATCTGATACCGAGGTCTGTGTGATCGAAACCACCTCTGCCCAAGACAATATTTGAGTCGAGACCCTTTTCTACTCCAGCACCGTATTCTATCATAGCAAGACCTTAGAATTATTCTAATGTAGATGGAGTAGCATATTTCTTTCTGTAATAGAATGGATTATCCTTTTATGGCATTTTAAGACCAAAGATTGGATAGCCGATAAGTACAGCAAGAGATATGATTGCACCTAGAGAAGAGACAACTCCAGATCTCTTCTTTTTAAAATGCATAGCAGTCATTGGATCTGGCATTTCATAATCAAGATCTTCATCAACGTACCCAAGAGTGTGAGCAATATCGTGAGGGAAGTCGTAGGCATTCATATAGTTATCATGTAAGAACATTCTTCTGTCCATGTTCTAGGGCTTGAAGTTGAATCTGACATCGTTCCAGTGAGCTGGCCAAATTTCATGATTAGGGGGAGATTTGTGTCTGAAATCTTCAGGCAAGGGAAGTGGCAAGTGTCTTGCTTCGAGCATTGTCATCTCCCTTTCATAGTAGTCATCCTCACAGGCATAATCCCACTAATATCTATTTCTGACTCCGATTCTTGCAGTGGCAATCAGGGCTTGGCTGTGAAGTCTGAGCCCAGATCTCAAGCGTGAAGTTAGAAAACTATTGCTCATCTTTGATTAACAATTATTATATTATAAACATATATGCACTTCAATATATTATTTATAATTAATTTACTAATTCAACTTAAAGAGCAGAGTATTTTGAACAGAGTACTAGAAATGGGAAATGATGGTGGAAGCATACCTCACAGAGCCGAGGTAGTTAAGAATAAGAAAAAAGAAGAACGCAAAGATTAGTTTGAGATGGCTAGAGCTAAAGCCAGACTATGCGCAATCAGCAAAGATAAATTAAGGCAGCCCATAGTAATCTGTAGAATGGGATTACTATACAACAAAGAAGAAATGATTAAGAGACTTATTGAAAAAAATATACCAAAGGCATTTAGACATATCAAGAAATTAAAGGATGTTAAGGAGGCTTAAATATAAGTAAGGAAAAATGAGGGGGACGACTCTATTGTTATATAGTGCCCAATCAGTCAAATAGAGTTCAATGGATTTCACAAGTTTATAATCAACTGGAGTTGTGGTTGTGTTATTAGTCAAGAAGCTTAAAGAGAATTAAAAGATTAGTAAAAGTGTATAAGCTGTGGAGAAGAAGTTAAATCTCAAGAGGATGTAATTAGCCTTAACCAGACGCCTGATGAATAATTAGCATTTTTAAGGGATTTTGACGAGTAATAAAGGATTGCTGATGAAAAGGCAGCTTCCAAGAAAGCAAATAAAAAAAGAACAAAGAGAGAAAACCCTGATGCTGATAATCTAGATGATAACGAAGAAGTCAAAGAAGGTGATGCCAAAAGGCAGAAATTAGATGATAAGCATAAAGAAGCAGTCCCAGAGAAAAGTGATGCTTATAAATCTTTGTTCACTAAGCAATACGAGGAGAATAAAGATGCTGATTTTTTGTGCAGATGCGTCCACAGAGGTCTTAGATGAACTTTACAGACAAAGATTATAGATCATAAAATGCTATGAGATTTGCTTATATATAATTAGTTCTTAAATTTAATTAACTTTAAAAATTAACCTTCATTGTGTTACTATTTGTATAACTTGATAAATTAATATATTTTCCTATATGTACAGTCATGATTACTAATCAGTCTTTCATAAAATAGAGTTATTAGATCTTATGTCTTGAAAGGTCATGTTAATATATTCTTCTCTTGATGGCTGTCTTACCCTCACTTAAACTAAGTCATTGTTTTTGTATGTAAATTGCTGGTTTTTCCCATGCAAAGATTAAAGTTCTAAAATAGTAAAAATAATGTTAAATTACATCTCTTATGTGAAGATACTAACTCACCTTTAAAGTTTCTAGAACTACAGTAATAGTTTAATTAGTAATAAATCTTCTTACTTAATGATTCGATTTTAAATCATTCTATCTAGATCAATATTTTGGTTGACTATTTATGAGCCTCTCTACCCCTTGAATCTAGAATTTTAAGTTTTCATTGGATATTGTGGGTCTTCTTCAACAGTTTTATTTAATGAGACTCTTTAATTTCAAATCTAACTTAGATTATCATATAGACTTGAATAGTCAACCTTGTATTAAGATGCTTCAAATTTATCCTCAAATACGGTTGTTAAATTTTTCGGATTTATGTCTGGAAGTTATATTATCTATATATAGTATTAATTCTGATTGAGTTTTACATCAAATGGAGTATTCTAATCCTGATTTCTCCTGGTAACACTGTGTTTAGAGTTTATGTTAGACAAATCATTTAAGTTTGGTATGCTGATGCTTTTTCAACTCCCTGAATTCAAAAGATTACTCTATAGTGAATCAAAAATATAGGTATTGTGATACTCTACTCTAAATATGCTTGCTTATTAAAGGATCAATCCTTGTAATTGAAACTTATCCATCATGCAATATTTTCTTATGTCTTTCCATCTAAATTAATGAATATATTATCAATCAAAAGCATATAGCTGTAATATTTCACATACCTAAGATTAATGCTAAATAATCTCAGTTCTTGACACAAATGACTTAGCAGAGGCAATCTTATTTTTCAGCATTTCATTTTCCTGGACAATTTTCCTGATTTCCTGCTTTTTATTCAGAAAGTTGAGACTTTTTGGACCATACTACTGAAGATAGGGTATTTTCTCGTTCTAATTTAAGTTAAAATGTCCTTAAGTATTAATTTACCTCAACAACTTCATTGATTTTAAGGAATATTCTCATATTTTCTCTGTTTATCAAATCCTCTCTAATGTTTATTAAAATATACAAATTATTGTAAACGTTACCTTCGCTTTTGATCTTTCTAATTTTGTGACATAAGTTTATGCTTGATTTTCTCAAGGGTTTGAGGAGAAGATGTGTCTACTGCTGGCTAACAATTCATAACTTTATTAACATGATTCAAGTAATGAATGTAAGGTCTAATAAAAAGTTTAGAAGTTAGAAATTACATATATTAGCTTCCATTTCCACGTTTTGTCTTTTCTATCATTTTTATTTTAATAAAAATTAATGAGGTTTATAATTGTTTGATAATATTTAAATTCAAAATGTTCATGGATGAAAAGAGTATGATTATCTCATAGCATGAGTAAAATCTAAACTGCATTCTAAACTTACAAAGCATCACTGAAAGTATCTTTATTTCAACTGAATAAAGGTTTGAACTTAATTTTAGAGCTATTATTTTCAATGAACGTACCTTAGGAAATCGCAACTAAATACAACTTTTTAAAGCAGTAAACATTTGAAAGTTTAGGGTTAGTTTTTACTCCAGGAGTTGTAACATTTGTCCCATTGGTTTCACCTTAATCTAATCCAAGTGGTGCATCTTATGATAACCCTAATGGCTATCAAAGCAATAGTATTTCAAATTTAAATAGATTAATACTTACTTTAGACTACTAATCGACAGGAGGAGTAAAAAGAAATCAAGCCTCCGATTAATAATTATTTACTTAAATAGAAGAAATAATGAAGAGTATGACAGAGCATTTGGCAAACATGACTAAGGGTATAGTGTTAGAAGAAGAGAATTCTTTTATTCAGGACTCTTTATCTAAGAAATTTCTGGAGTCATTGCAGGTTAAGGACTACCACTTTACATAATTGCCGAGAGAATTCATGTAGAGAGTGGATTCAATAAAGAATGAATTCGATTCACAGATAAGAAAGCTGATTGACCACTTCAATCATCAGAGAGAGGAAATAAGTATTTAAAATGACAGAAAGATTGAACTGCTTAAACAAGAGAGCAATAAATATAAAAACGAGGTCTAAAGTATTAGGAATCAGGTAGTTAGACAGTGCATGTGCAAATACTATGAAGGTAATATGGAAAAGCTAAAAGATGAACACTAAAAGCACATCAATAAACTCAAGTAAAAGTATGAAAACGAGATATTTGAAATAAGAACAAATGGCAAGAATCAGTCAATGAATGTGGAGTTATTCAGAGACAAGATATTTACAGACTTGAGGATGAGAGTATTTGCATATGTGCAAGAAAAGAACCAGAATTATATAAATGCCTTCTGTGCTGATCACAATGTCAATACAACACAGATAGACCCCATAGAATTGATATTCTACATTTGCCAAAGAATGGAAGGAGACAATAACTGGTTAGTTGATAAGCTGGCTGAAGTGTAGGAAGAGAAAAGACGCTTGTTAGAGAGTTCGCAGATTGATCGACAGGAGGAGGAACTGTTAAATGGTACATTGTTTTAGGAGATTATAGAATAGACATAGAAAAGCAGTGAATTTTTCGCATTCTTTGATTAGTCCAGAGGAGATCTGATATCCACACTTGAGTCTGATTCAAACAACCACAAATCTTATAATTAACTATTAACTAGTTAGACTAATCAGGGAAGCAAAGAAAATATTCCTCTGAAAAGAAACAGCAATTACTGCAGTGCAGCAAATCTCAGAGAGTCGCTACAGTCTGTCAGAAGTGGCTCTCTTAATAAAAGTTAATCAGGCAAGAATCTAAATTTGAAGTATTAGTAAATCATGAAGATAGGCTAAAGAGAAGAGGAGGTAATGAGTAGTAACAACAATGGAAGTTAAGAGATGTATGCTTCTGGACATCAGTCGCATAATAAGATGCTTGGAGAGAGTAGTGAGTTTCTAAATGAATACAATAGATGATAATATGAAAAAATGAATTAGAATATGGTTTGAGACTCTTAACATTAATATATAGTTTTAGTTGTTAAAAATTATCTGTTAAAAACCTTTGCAAAACGAGAACATCAATAATCGCAAGTGGGGGCTTGCTGATTAACTGTGTAGCAAGTTGATTGAAATGCCTATTTATATTCTTAACAAATAATTCCTCACTTGGGGTTGAAGCCAAGTAATGACTTTAATTGCGACTCCATCGATTAGAGTTCATCTATCTCATTATTTTCTCCTTCATCATCATAGCCTCCCAGTTCTTCGTACTGAGGCGCTTGATTCTACATAAACTAATCTGCTCTCTGCAGAGTTCTCTATTCAGGTTGCTATTACTATTACTATTGCTGACTAGTTTGAGGTTTTGGCTGAATTTGTATTTATTAAGATTCATTAGGTTAAAGTTCTTATTATGCACTTAGTTTTCTCTAGGGGATAAATTCAATGGCATTTTGCATGTTCATTGGAGCACCTTGCATCTATGCTAGCTGAACATTCATGGGATTCATCATCATTTATCGAGGAGGTGTTAGTTGAATCTGCAAGTTCAGAGGACTGGTTTCCAAGAGATTCTTAGTTGGGAATAAATCCTTGATTTGCACGAACTTATTCTCAGTGTACACGTTCGACTTAACTTTCATGAATGGGTCGCTTAAGAACTTGTAAATTTTAAACATTTCACTTGAAGTCTTTTAGTAGTGATCGTTTCTTAATTGATCTGCTGGCTTTTAAAAGATAGATTCCTCCAGAGTCCAGTGCTTTCCATTTGGTTATATATCTGAGGTCTTGCCTTATTGAATGTTTTCTTCCAATATGTATTTACTAAATGGGTTGATCGATTAAGTCAACTGCTTAAAGAGTTCACCTTACTCTTTTTCCTCTTCCATGTCAGCTATTTCTTGCATTTTGATTCTATGCTTATCGTGAGTGACTACTGGTAAATTTTAGAACAGATTTTGAATGTTCTGTAGAGCAGTGAACTTTGGACGAACTTAAGAAACTATTTTCTACTATTGAAGTTACTGTTTTTGCTATATTGAGAGGTTTTTTATTTATTATTACAAGTCTTATGGCAAATCCACTCTTTATACTTGTTATTGTTGTTGCTGCTGTTGCATTTGAGCTTAATTCTATTAAGGAGCATTATAGTTTTACTCTTATTAGTAGCTGACAGATGAACTTACTTGCTTGGTTTTCGTTTTCTTATCTTCTTCATTCATCAGTTAGTTGAATAGCTCATCAAGTTAATCATCATCTAAAGCTTATTACTGCTATTATCTCTTTTGCTTCATGTTTTTCTCATAAATCATATCAATGTCTGAAAAATTTCTCTCATTTTTCTCAATATCTGTAGCTAAAACCTCTACTTATTGCTCAATATCTTTGTCAATTAACGCAACTTTCTTAGCTGCACTATCCTTCTCTATTTGAGTAAGTCTCTCGAATTCCTCTTCCTAGATTTAGTATTAAGTCTTTCTGCTTCCCCAGATTTTTTGCTGTCTCTCTTTCTCTTTTTTGACATTTTCTCTGAGTTCAGTTTCATTGACAATAGCTCGACCAAAGAATGAATTACTTTCCTTCTTTGGATCGAAGTCTATCCATTCTGGATCTTGCTCATCTTCCTCTTCTTCTAGTGACCCTAAAGCCATTTTACCACCAGGGCCACCCCTCCACTAAGGTTAACCTGGTTTCTAATATCTATCAGTTTAAGCTCTTCTTTTTGGTTAATTCTATATTAAAACTCCTTCAGCTGCTTATTCTTACGGATCGTCGGACTCAGGCAATAAAGGACCACTGCTTAAAATCTCAACCCAATCAAGTAGATCCTTGTCAAAATGCTTAAGACTGATTTCTGATTCTTTTTCAAATTTTAAAAGCAGCTATTCTCTTGTAAACCTTCTTCTATTTGGATTCCTCAGAATTTATTATTGATTTTCGACCTGGACTTAAGATTCCGCTTAAATTTGCTATTCAGGCTTGCCTTGAGCTTGATTGCTCTATTCTCCTTGTTTTGACTCTTCAATATCTGGCAATTAACCACTCAACATCATTTGGAACTTTTAATCAACTGTTAAACCAGATTCATCTCTAAATTGCTCTTCTGCTTGCATATTTAATTAGTCTATTAATTCTTGTTGACTCATCTCTTTTTAAGTGTTTGTCTTTTTCACATACTTGGACGATTATTGAGCATTTTGATTATTATCTTTAGGCTATTAATTATCACTAGGACGGTATCCTCCACGACCATGGCCCCCACCATGTGTCTGTGCTCCACCGCCTCTTTTTTATTGATAACCTCCTCGTCTTTGTTAATCCCCTCCGGAATTACCATAATTGCTAGTAGACATATTGAAATCTAAATTTTGAATTATTATAATCCTTTGTCAATTTGGTATTTGATCTGATTTCTTGGGGTTTTGGGGTTTTGGGGTTTTGGGG